GGGGGGGGGGGGGGAGGAGGGAGGGGGGTTTTGGTAATGGGCCACAATAATCAACCTCCTTGTATATCGACAAAGTAAAATTTAAAAAATAAAAATAATAGACTTTTAGGGCCAAGCCCGTGGCGCACTCGGGAGAGTGTGGCGCTGGGAGCGCAGCAGCTCTCCCGCCACTAGTTTGGATCCTATATAGGGATGATCAGTGCTCTCACAGTGCTCACTGGCTGAGCGCGGTGCAGCTGGTCTCAAAAAGGACAAAAAAATAATAATAATAGTCTTTTTAGAGCAGTTTTAGGTTTACAGAAAAATTGAGTGGGAAGTACAGAGAGTTTTCATTTACCCCTGTACCACACCCCACATCCTCAGTTTCCCCTATTATTAACGTCTTGCATTAGTTTGCTATATTTATTACAATTGATGTGTCAATATTGATATATTAGTAACTGAAGTCCATAGTTTACATTAGGATTCACTCTTTGTGCTGTATATCCTATGGGCTTTGACGAATGTATAAACATATATGTGTACCATGGTGGTATCCTACAGAATAGTTTCAATCCTCTATGGGTTACCTATTTACCCCTTCCTCCCTCTCACTGAACTCCTGGCAACCGCTGATCTTTTTTACTGTCTTCATAGTCTTTTGCCTTTTCCAGAAAGTCACATAATGTATGTAGCCTTTTAGATTGGTTTCTTTCACTTAGCAGTATTTATATAAAGTTCCTTCATGTCTTTTCATGGCTTGATAGCTCATTTCTTTTTAGTGCTGAATAATATTTCATCATCTGGATATACCACAGTTTATACATTCACCTATTGAAGGACATCTTGGTTACTTCCAAGTTTTGGCAATTATGAATAAAACTACTATAAACATGTGTAGATTTTTGTGTAGACATAAGATTTCAGCTCATTTGGATAAATACCAAGGAGTGCAACTGCTGAATTGTATGACAAGAGTATGTTTAGTTTGGTAAGAAACTGCCAGAGTATACTCCAAAGTGGCTGTACCATTTTTCATTCCCACCAGCAATGAATGAGAGCTCCTGTTGCTCCACATCATTGCCAGCATTATTAGATGTCAGTATTTTGGATTTCAGCCATTCTAATAGATATGAAGTGGTATCTCATTGCTTTAATTGACAAAACCCTAATGATATCTCATTATATACTTATTTGCCATCTGTATGTCTTATTTGGTGAAGCATCTCTTCAGATCTTTTGCCCACTTTGTAATTGGGTTGTTTTTTTATTGTTGAGTTTTAAGAATTCTTTATATGTTTTGGATACCAGTTACTTATCAGGTATGTATTTTGCAAATATTTACTTCCAGTGTGTGGCTTGTCTTTTATTGTCTTAATGATGTATTTCACAGAGCAGAAGTTTTTAATTTTAATGAAGTCCTACTTATCAATTTTATCTTTCATGGTTCATGCTTTTGGTGTTGTGTTTAAAACATAATCACCAAACCCATGGTAACCTAGGTTTTCTTCTGTGTTATCTTCTAATAGTCTTATAATTTGGGGTTTTACATTTAGGTTTTAATCCGTTTAAAGTCAATTTTTGTGAAAGGTTTATAGTCTGTATCTAGATCCATATGGAATTCCAGCCATTTCAGCACCATTTGTTGAAAAACTATTCTCAGTTTTTTTACATTCCAATTTCCCCTTCTACTAGTGTAAAAATTATTTACTGTTTCTACTCTTTTAGTGACTATCCTAGAAAGTATAGAATTCTTTCCTAATTATCCTCCATGTTTGTAATCTCTCTCTGCTACACTTTGGCAAATTCTGTTTTTTTTAAAAAATCTGTTTTATCTTTGAGTTCACTAATTTTCTCTTCACCTGTTTCTAATCTGCTATTAAAGCTTGTTATTTTGTTTTCATTTGGGTTATGGTACTTTTCATTTCAAGAAGTTACTTTATTTCAAATATTCAAGGTCACGTTTTATAGTCTCTGGTTTCTACGAACTTTATTGATATTCAAAATTTATATATATATATATATTTTCAAAGTTTATATGTAACAGCTGGTATGGCACAGGCAATAATGAATCAGGATGGATAGCAGCTGAAAACCCCCACTATAATTGTATCAGTATGTACCATTGAGTATCAACCCACTTATTTCTATAAACTTTGGAAGCATAGGTGTTTTATAACCACTTTTTGATAATTCCAGGATCTGCATCTTGAAGATCTGCAGTATCTACATCTTGAGTATCTGTTTCTGCAGTCTGTTGTTTCTGTTGATTCTCATTTATGGTGCCTTGTTTTCAAGTGTGCTGGGTTATTTTTTAATGTGTACAACTCATGATTCATGAAAAATTCTTTATAGAAATGTTTTGAAGCCTAAGATTAAGGTGCCTTCCTTTGAAGAAGACTTGCATTTGCTTCTGCAGATGTTTGGGAGCAATCTAAACATATTTCACAGCTTTAGGTATTTTGGTCTTCCATATGATGTAATTTTCGGCTGTAAATACATGAGTCTGCTTGTGTTACACCTCAGGGATTGTTCCCCCCCATCCCTATCCCACTGAGTTGCCTTCTATTCAGCACAAGGTAACTTTCTTTGTAGTCCCTTTGGGATGTGGGTAGGAGGGTGTTTACTTCTGGTTTGTTGTTAGTCTAAGAGTGTGATCTCTTAGAACTTGATGTCTGTTTCCCTGGCCTAGCGAGGTCCATCAAAACTTAAAGTTAACATTTGCTTAGATTTGCAAATGCTTACCCGATAAAAGTGATTTTGCTTCTCTGTTTACTTCTCTAGGACCTCACTTTTCCTTATACATATTGGTTGGTAATTCCTTCACTATCTTGTCAGTTGCTTTTGTATTTTTTTCTGAAAACTTTTTAAAAATATTTTATCCAACATTTTTGGTTGTTTTCAGCAGGAGTATTGGTCTGACATAACTAAATGATTTTATTTCCAGAAGCAGAATTCACTGTTTCTTTAGCATTCTAAGAGAGCAATTTTTTAAGATTTTTTTTTTAGATTCTTACTTTTTTTTTTTTTTTTTTTTTTTTTTTTTTTTTTTTTTTTTTGCAGCTGGTCAGTATGGGGATCTGAACCCCTGACTTTGGTGTTATAACACTGTGCTCTAAACAACTGAGCTAACTGGCCAGCCCCAGATTCATATCTTTTCATTATGAGTATTCCCAAGCCATTGTGATTATCTTTAATGATATTGCTAATGACTTCTTTATATATTTTATAAAATAGACCTGATGTTTCTCTTTTCAGGCCAAAGAGGCAGTGACAGAAGCTGAACGATGTGACCCTACAAATATTTTCACTCAATTTCATATATTCAAGATTGCAATCTTAGAGGACAACTCTGACAAAGGTATAAATGTTATTTACAGGTTTATATTTGACTGTTAATGCAAAGAATAAATAATTCTCTTCAACCACAACAGAAAAAAACACACACTGTTTGTAAGACAGTGGAATTGAATGTATGTTCTATCTTTCCTATATAAAGATGATACAGCAATACAAAAAGAAACTGTGGAAGGTTACATAAAATTAAAAGAACAGTGGTTACCTATTGAAGGAATAGGAATGGGGCAGATGTAGGACAAGAATTAAGGGAAAGTCTTGTCACTATGTACTTTTTGGTACTTTCTGTCATTTGAACCAACCTATTCAAAAATTAAGTTAAAAAAGTTGTATGGGGTGAGAAGATTGTACTAAAAACTCATATCAGTTAAGAATTGTCTTAAGAGAATGAAGATGTCCAGGGTACATTTTGGCTGTTTTCACTTATTTTGGAAGGTGATTGGTGAGAGATTTGGCCTTGAAACACAGTTTCTCTCCACAGAGTGTGCAGTGTTGGAATTGCCCATATGACCCTCTACCCATTAGTGCTGTCTCCTTTCCATTAACTTAAGCATATTTGCCTAGTGGGTGTGTCTGCATACACATATGTATCCTGAATTGGTTACAGATATGCCTTTGCTCAGATTTTAATCCCTTCAGCCCTTAGGGTGGTTTAGCAAATCCTGAAGCAATCTGAGCTCCAGACTAGTTGCTATTTATAAAGGAAGTTTAGAAACTTGAGTTAATAGATCCAAACAGAATTTATACTAAACCAATTAAGCAACTATTTGTGAACACCTACTGTGTTCGAGGGAGTGTTATTTACTCCATAAGAAAAAAGAAATGGTTTATTCTGCATTGAAAAACAGATGTTCGAGAATAGTAAATTATACCTGTATAATATTTAAGGAGTAGTAAATTGGAGTCAACTCTGTATCAAGGTTAATATTGATGTGTGTCCACCATCAATGTTTTCATTAGAAACTCCTGGGCATTTTTTTTTACTTGATCTAATATGTTGAAGGATAAAAGAACTTGAAACTTTTTGCCAGCAAAAATGCCGAAAAGCAAAATAAAACAAAAAATACACCAGATTCCCTATTAAACCTTTTCTTTTAACATTATATTAAACTAAGATTATTTTACTTTTTGAATGCAGCATCAGTTCAATCTTTTTATTTCTTCCTCAGTTATCTGTGATCATTTTTTAAAGTCATGTTTACTGAAGATAAACATAATAAAATTTACTTTTGCTAGGTTTTGGTTCTGTGAGCTTATCTGTTAATAATTTTATGAATTTTGACAAATGCCTACAGTCATGTAACCACCATCACAATCCAAATGTATAACAAAAAATTACTTCAGACCCCTTTGTTGTTACTCCTTCCCACCACTTCCAACCCTGGAAATCACTAGTCTCTTTTCTGTCTCTGTAGTTTTCCCTTTTCCAGAATGTCATATAAATGGAATTATACATTATGAAGCTTTTTGAGTCTGGCTTCTTTCACTTACCATAATGCATTTGAAACTCACCTGTACTGTTGTGTACATTCACAGTTTGTTCTTTTTTATTGCTAAGTAGTATTCCATAGTATGGAAATATCACCATTTGTTTATCAGTTCTCCAGCTGAAGAATATTTGGATGGTCTACAGTTTTGGTGATTATGAATAAAGGTGTTATAAATATCTCTTTAAAGATTTTGTGTGATGATAAGATTTCACTCCTGTAGGGTAAATATCTAGGAGTAGGATTATGGGGTTGTATGGTAAGTAAATGTTTAACTTTACTAGAAACTGCCAAATGGTTTTCGAAGTGGCTATACAGTTGGACATTCAAACCAGCTTGTATGAGAGTTCCAGATGATCTATATCCTCATCACCACTTGGAATTGGCCACTTAAAAAATATAGCTATTCTAATAGTTGGGTAGTTTTGTTGATCTTTTCAACTGTTTTTCTCATTTCTATTTATTTTTGATCTGATCTTTATAATTTACTTCCTTCTACTAACTTTGGGCTTACATTGTTCTTTTTCTAGTTCCTTGAGGTGTAACATTTGGTTGTTTATTTGAGATCTTTCTTCTTTTTTGATATAGAGGTTTTATTACTATAAACTTCCCTTTTATTTTTATTTATTTATTTATTTTTAAAAGATGACCGGTAAGGGGAACTTAACCCTTGATGTGGTGTTGTCAGCACCACGCTCACCCAGTGAGCCAACCGGCCATCCCTATATGGGATCTGAACCCATGGCCTTGGTGTTATCAGCACCACACTCTACTGAGTGGGCCATGGGCTGGCCCTAAACTTCCCTTTTAGAACTGTCTTTGCTGCATCTCATACATTTTGGTATGTTGTTTGTCCATTTTCATTTGTCTCAAGATATTTTTAAATTTCCCTTTTAATTTTTTCTTTGTCCTTTTGGTTGTTCAGGAGCATGTTGTTTAATTTCCACATATTTGTGAATTTTCTGAAATTCCTCCTGTTATTGATTTCTAGTTTTGTATCATTGTGTTCAGAAAAGATAATTGATATGCTTTTAATCTTCTTAAATTTGTTAAGACTTGTTTTGTGGCCTAACACATGGTCTATTCTAGAGAATGTTCCATGTGTACTTGAGAAGAATGTGTATTCTGCTGTTTTTGGATAGAATGTTCTGTATAGGTCTGCTAGGTCCATTTGGTCTAAACTGTAGTTTAAGTCTGATGTTTCCTTATTGTCTGTCTGGATCATCTGTCCATTGGTGAAAGTGGGGTATTGAAGTCCCCTACTATTACTGTATTATAGTCTATATCTCCCTTCAGATCTATTTATATTTGCATTATATATTTAGGGACTTCAATATTGAGTGCATATATATTTACAATTATTATTCTCTCTTGATGAATTGATGACCCCTTTATCATTGTAAAATGACCTTCTTTGTCTCTTTTTTTGGTTTTTTTTTTTTTTTCCTTTTTGTCTTTTTTCGTGACCGGCAACGGATCGCAACCCTCAGTGTCGCGCCCGTACCGGACCGGGACCGGCAACGGGATCGCAACCCTCAGTGTC